TTAGGATGAATATTCCAGAAATATTAATGAGTTTAAAAAGGGGGTGCTGCCTCATGCCTAGCCAAGATGACATGTGATACATGGTTGATGGGTCACGATACCTTCCTAATATCTGAAAACTTCCGAATTCTGAAACCCATCAGACTCCAAAGGTTTCAGATAAGGGACTGTGGACTTGTCTATGTCCTGGGTCAACATGTAAACTGAATTTATTGCTAAAATGTCTGAAAAACATAGGAGATAAAACACATCCCAAACGCTGACCTTTAACTGAAGTTTCCATTTCTGAGACAGGCTCTGATTTTTCTTCCCCATTAGATTCATCAACTTCAGCCACTGTTGTCAACTCTGGCTCACTCTTGTAGAGTCTATAATCTGGACCCTTGAAAGGAAGATATGTAATTACCAAAAAAAAATTGCTACAAGTTTCTTTTAAAATGTTTACCTCTAAAGACTCAAGTCAAACTCTACAAATCAAAAGCCTCAGTCAGCTATCTTGGATGTAACACAATTAATATGTATGTTATACCTAAGGTTGAAAAAAAAGAATCTGAAAGATTTTTAACCAACGGAACTTTTGGTTTTAAAATTAAAAATATCCCGGGCCAGCCCCGTGGCTTAGCAGTTAAGTGCGCGCGCTCCGCTACTGGAGGCCCAGGTTCGGATCCCAGGCGCGCACCGACGCACCGCTTCTCCGGCCATGCTGAGGCTGCGTCCCACATACAGCAACTAGAAGGATGTGAAACTATGACATACAGCTATCTACTGGGGCTTTGGGGGAAAAAAAAAAGGAGGAGGATTGGCAATAGATGTTAGCTCAGAGCCGGTCTTCCTCAGCAAAAAGAGGAGGATTAGCATGGATGTTAGCTCAGGGTTGATCTTCCTCACACACACAAAAAAATATTCCTCTTAGGGACAAAGTCATTAGAACCTTTTTATCACGGTATATCTGAGGTCTGAAAATAATTATATCATATTAATCCAATAAGCCCTATTCCTTTTTTCCTTATTTTTTTCCCTTTTTTATTACATTTCACATTTATTTGCTTAACCCCAAACCTCTTATTTCCAGTTTCCATGGGTAATGTCTGTCCTTGGTAATGTCCACATCCTCTAACAGCTTTCCTTGACTGAAATGCCTACTCCCCAACCCTTTTCTTATTCCTAGTAACAATCTTTTTCTTTCTTGCTTCTTGCTGATCTCAAGATACTATTTTGCCTCTAATATCCTAAAATAGTATATTTAAAATATGGCTCCTTAAACACATGCAACGTAACCACTTCCTGAAAATATTTATGAAAATATGAAATATTATTAAAATTGTGAAAATATTAAAAACTGAGAATGGTAAAACCAAAACAGGAAAAACACAAATGATGACATTATCTATAAACAAAATGCACTGGTTAAAAGTGGTGTTATAATAAAAAAAAAGTTTGAGTGAAAAATAAATTTTCAAAAATGAGAGGGCATGTGCGATTGATTATTCTGTGGCTATTGCAGCCACTTACACAGTGAGATCCATTTCTTGGATATCCTTGAACTTGATGAATCTTCTTTTCTTCAGGCAGATGGACTGGGCCCCTGCTATAACAGAGCAAGGAGCTGCTATCACTGGGCAGAGGGGGGATTATGGGAGGCTGCTCTGTAAAGTCATAGGACCGAGGAAGTGGAGGACGAGGTGGGACTACTTCCTCTTCCTAAAGATTGTAGAATAGTCACCTTATTTAGACAAGCATATTGAATTAAGTGTATCTAAATTCTTTGCAATGGTAAATTAACTTAAATTCGCTTTAAGATAATTAAAGGGACACTGCCAAGCCAAAAGTCTCATACTGAAAAGTAAAACCAAAAATGTTTATGATAGCCAATAAATAGGTTTTAAATACGGTTGTATCTAATTTTTTCTGTAACACACAGGTTAGCTTTACACTGAAGCCCGACCTCAAAACAGATGTATGAAACTACTGTATTTCATTTTAAAAATACAAGAAAAGTATCAATTTAAAAATCTTACTCCATATTTTTTGGGTAATTTTTAAGAGAAAAAAAATAAACATTTCTTTTTGATTGGCTTTTATACAAAATTCAAGACCACAGATGCTTTCAGTTAGGTTGACAGTATCCCTTTGTACTTGTAATTTCTTTATGGTATGCAAGATACATAGCCCACTTATCTATCAATCATCCTACATATTTTATGAAGTATAAGAAACAATGATAAATATTCAAGTTAGAAAAAGTATGATAATATTAAAGTTCTAATATAGATGAAAAGTAGTGATTCAATGTTTTTACATTAAGAAAACGGAAGAAAAATCACATTTGTTAGAAGTACCAAATTACTAAACCAGTGAAATTTCAAGATTAAAACAATAAATCAAATATATTCAGAAAACATTTTGTTATGAGCAGACAACTCTAATTCATGTTTTAAATATTTAAAATAATTTATAGTTAGACAAACAATCCAAACTTACCTCATTTTTGTACTTGACTGTCGAGAAAGGCTTTGGTCCTACCATACCTATTAAAGAAATTATAAAACATAACTACTTATCCTAAACATATCTTTCTGAATATACAGAAAAAAGGAATAATTTCATTTCACTTAATTGAAGCCTTCAGTTTCTAATCTTTTATTTACTAATGTTTGCAGAATTTGAAACAAATTACATTAAAAAATACAAATTAAAATATCTAGTTTAAACAAGAGTATGGGGAAATGCGTTTTCTTAAACATTACTGGTGCAAGTATACTCTGACATAATCTTTTAGGACGGCAATTTGGCAGTGCTTATCAAAATGGAGACTGTGGGCTCATTTCCCACTTCTGGAATCCAGAAGTACTAGCATATGTGTTTAGTTATACATAAACAATATTCATTATAACATTATGACAGAAACAAACAAACAAACCAAAAACCTGGAAACAACTTACACGCTCATCAACACAGAAACAGATAAATTATAGTTCATCTATACAATGGATTCTTACGCAGCTATTATTGTATTGTATTGTTAAGGAGAAAAAAGCAAATTGTTTTAAAATAAGTATAGCATAATTCCATTTTCTGTTGTGGGAAAAAAACTCCTAAAACCAAAACACTATGTGTGTTTTTAATTATACACACAAAACAATGATTTATTTTTGTGTGAGTGTATTTGGAAAAACTTCTGCTTTTTGCTTTATAAATTTGTGTCCTGATTCAGTATTACAAAGAAGAGTGCCTGTTTTCTGATGTCAAAATCCATTAAAATAAAAAAAGAAACCTGATTCTATGTGTCATTCCATTTAGATATACTATTATGGTCAACTACCGGGAATAAAATACAAAGCTACTCGACCTGTTTCTGTGGTGCCTCTTTGCTGCTTGTGTTTACCCAGTCCTTCCATGACATCTTGAATTCTCCAGAGTTCTTTCTGAATCTGCGCACGCTGAATTCCTGCTGATTCAGTCTATTAGTAAAAATGCACAGACCGGATACAGGGAAAAAAAAAAAATCATTAAATAAAGTTATATATTTCATTAATTATATATTTAAAAAAATGAGAATTGCAGTGGACTAAGTTTTGAGAATATTTAATATGACCTATGTGAACATGCCCAATTTTGCAACTTCAGTGGCAAAGATAAAAGATAAAGCAGAGAAAGAAAAAAATTAATTTTTCAGTCTTAAGTGCACTATTTCTTATCTCTTCAGTAAGCTTTGCCTTCCGTTATTTATGATCCCAGGAAGGAATACTGATCAGAGGGACTAAAAATGGAAAGAAAACCAAAAAGAAAACAGAACAAAATAGAAACCCATAAACCCCAAATTAAAAAAACATATATATATTTTAGGGGGAGAAAAAAGAAATGGAAAGTATAGCAGCTTCCTATGGTCTAGAACACAAAGAGACATGACAAAAAAGAAAAAAAAAAAAGGACAATAAACAAAATACATTTAGAGTTAGAGTTAACGAAACGTTATTTGCAGGACAAATTTTCAATTTTGGAATCTAGATTTATCACTGCCATTTTTATTCTATTCTAAATTATATCCACTTTCTTACTTCTAATACCCCATTTCATGCCCTCAGGCTAAATGCTATAACTGAAACCAAAATAAGATCATACTGGTTTTCTGTAAGATTCTAACAGAACTCTATGACATATACTTAGGATTACAATAAATATATTTTTAGGAATATAACTTTATTTAAAAAATAGGCAATAAAGTACAAAAATCGTCACATTGCCTAGAAGATTTTTTTCACTGAATATTAGTTTTCGACAATTGCAGATACTAGAATAAAATCAATAATCAATAAGAAAAAAGTCCTCCAAGGGGTAGAAATATGTTTTCAAAGTCTATAAGCCTAAGGACTATGTCCTAATACTGCCTCAAAAAGGCACCACATAACTTTAGTTATCCAGTTTCCCAAGCCACAGGCTGGAAGCATCCAAGTAAAGGAAATACTCACATGAGACCCAAACCCATGACAGCCCAGAGAGGTGAATACTGACATACTTATGGGGAAGGATTATCAACTATAAAAATCAGACAGCTGCACGTTTTGTATAGAATATGTATTACTTTTGCAATAATTTAAATTTATATACATATTTTTGCTTATCTGAAAGACGTACAATTGAAAATATCATTTTTGTTTTATTTTGCATTTCTCTGGTTACTAGTGACTTAAACCAAACACTTGTTAGCAATCTGAGTTTTACTTTCTATGATTTAAAACTACTTACGTTCTTTGTCTGTTTTTCTAATGTAATCTTTCTCCAAATCAAAAAGAACAAGTTCCTGCAAATCCAGATAGTAACTCCTGTTGAATTTTAGTGGTCAAAGACACTTCTTCCCAGTACATCATCTTTTAAGTTTGTCTAGGTTGCCTTCATTATTTACTTATTTATTTAACAAACACTTATATGTCTTATGTGCCTGGTACTATTTAAAGTGCTTACATTTAACCATTTTAATAACCCCATAGGGGTAAGTATTGTTACTATTTTCATGTTACAGTTGTGGAGACTGAGGGACAGAGCTGTTATGTAACTGGTCTAAGGTCACATATGCAATGTTGTTCTCACAGAGTGTGCCTTCTAGTTTTTTTATTTTTTCAAAAACTGTCTTAACTACTTGTGGTCTTTACTATACCTTAAAAAGACGTTTAGAACCATTTTGTTAATTTTTTTCAGAAAATTCTGCTAGAAATTTGGTTGGAATAGAATTGAGCTTATGGGAAGAACTTTCATCATGATAACGTTAAATTGGGCCATCTGTGAACATGGCTGAACCAGTTACACTTTTCCATTTACTCAAGTCTTCTCTTATGTCCTATAATATAGTAAATTAATCTTTCATGGTGAACATTTTTTTGTTAGGCTAAATCAAGGTTGGCAAAATGCTCTGGTCTGTAGTCTCTTTGTATGGCCTGTGAGCTAAGAACAAATTTTTACATTTTTTTATGTGTGTGCGAGGAAGACTGGCCCTGAGCTAACATCGGTTGCCAATCCTCCTCTTTTTGCTGAGGAAGATTGGCCCTGAGCTAACATCTGTACCCATCTTCCTCCATTTTGTTTGTGGGATGCTGTCACAGCACGGCTTGATGAGTGGTGCATAGGTCCACGCTCAGGAACTGAACCTGCGAACCCCGGGCCACCTAAGAGGAGCGTGCGAACTTAACCACTATGCCACTGGGCCAGCCCCTAAATTTTTACATTTTTAGGTGGTGATAAAAAAATACAAAACCATCAAAGATTATGTGACAGAGTGTATATATTTGATATCCAGCCTTTTACAGAAAAAGTTTCCTGAACCTTGGGTTATATCTTAGATATTTATAGTTATTTTTCTCTAGTATTTAGTATCTTATTAGTGTAACTTCAGTGTTCAATACAGAAGTCACAACCACATGTGGTTAACTAAATTTAGATAATTAAAATGAGAAACAATTAGAACTTCAGTTCCTTGGTCATACTAGCAACACTTCAAGTGCCCAACAACTACATGTGGCTACTGGCTACTACACTGGACAGCATAGACAGAGGACAGTTGATTTTCTATGAGTCATCCTTACTAACCTTTTAGTTCTTGTATTGATTTGTCTGTTGAGTCCAGTGGGTTTCCAATGTAGATGGCCAAATTTATATAGGGCCACAAGCATGAAGCGACATTTATTATTTTCTTAAACGTATATTATCTCCATTTCTCAGAGCAACACTTTAAGACAGGTATTATTATTTCCGTATTACAGATAACAAAACTAACACTTGGAACCAGATCCCAGATCTGCCAGTTTACAAATCTGGACTCTTTATGCCAAATGGTACTGCATCTTCCCCTATTCTAATAATATATCAGTCAAGACCATAGGCTAAATATAGTTTGATAAAAAAGAGGCATTTAATATAGAACGGATTAGAATAAATTTTATAAAAAAATAACATATCAGTTATTTGATAAATCTATATAATTCAACACCTCAATGACAAGTGACATAATTAGCTAGGAGCACAGAGCACTCCAGGGCTCACAACGTACCCAATAAAATAAAGAACTTTTAAACAATGAAGGATGGGCTACTTTGCGAGAGAGCAAGATTCCCATCATTGAAAGTATTCCAACCCAGGCCTTAGGTAGCCAATGATGTAACAACTCTTAAGGGCATGCATAAATCTAACAAGGTGGGTTGTACGGTACCACTCAAAATCAGTTAAAACAATGTAAAAAAATTACACTTTTGTACCTGAACTTCACCAAGGCGATCTAGCTGCTCCTGCATCTGGTTTCTGGTAACAGTTACATCGTATTCTAATCTATCATATTCTCTCCATGCTCGTTCCAGTTCCTAAAATCAAAGAGCTTTAATTACTTTAATGGGGAAAATGTGCTTCTGTGTTGTTATCAACGTGTAGTTTATATTGAACAAAACAAAAATTTTTATAACTCATTTTCCTTTATTTTTTTTCCTCCCTTTTTTGCTTAATTCAACAAGAATTTACTGAGCAACTGAAGTATTTATTATTGTGCTGCTGTATTCAGATTTATTAAAAAACAAAACAAACCCAAACAAACCCCCCATAATTATTATTTATTCATTCTTGACATCAAGATATTCAAATTCATTCTGTCTAAAGAGTTTTATTTTGAGGAAATACATTGTTTTATTCATGGCAATACAGCAAATTTTTCTTGAAGATAATTTCTTAAAATGGAGTAAAGGCATAAAATAAAGCATTTTCTTATCTGTCCTGATTAAAATTTCTCCACGAATACAAATAATAAATAGGTTGTATTTTAGCATGTTGGATTTTCAATAACACTTCAAGGCTGATATGATTTTACTTAGAATAAATTTACAGTAATGTAATAACCTAATTTAGCTAACTAAACAAGTCAGTGAATCCTGCTCAAAGACTAGTATAGATAGCATCCACCTATACTTTTCTCCTTTGGAAAAAAAAATACCCAAAACTCGCAAATCACAGAGAAGTTTTTCATACTTGGTCTCCCTCTACCTGTGTCATCTATTTTTTTTTTTTTTTTTTTGGTGAGGAAAATTAGCCCTGAGCTAACTAACATTTGCCACCAGTCCTCTTTTTGCTGAGGAAGACTGGCCCTGGGCTAACATCCGTGCTCATCTTCCTCTACTTTATACGGGACGCCGCCACAGCATGGCTTGATAAGCGGTGTGTGGGTCTGCACTGGGGATCCGAACCTGCGAACCCTGGGCCACTGGAGCGGAGCGTGCAAACTTAACCGCTATGCCACCGGACTGGCCTCTACCTGTCATTTATTGAATACAGAATGATTCTGCAAGTGCTCCAAATATGTCACATCATTCTGTTTCAGGGATGCTGTTCTACAGGAGTGTAGGCACTCTTCTTTGGGCAACAGTTACATCTCACAGAGCGGTATGAAGTCAACAAACTGATAACTAAGGAGAGGGACTGTATTTGATCACTATTTTTTTTAAAGATTTTATTTATTTATTTATTTCCCCCCCAAAGCCCCAGTAGATTGTTGTATGTCATAGCTGCACATCCTTCTAGTTGCTGTATGTGGGATGCGGCCTCAGCATGGCCGGAGAAGGGGTGCGTCGGTGCGCGCCTGGGATCCGAACCCGGGCCGCCAGCAGCGGAGCGCACGCACTTAACCACTAAGCCACGGAGCCAGCCCGATCACTATTTTATCATCAGTATCTAGTGTGCTGTTGGCATGTGTAACACAACCAACAAACATTTTCTGAACGCTGTTGTAAAATGAATTAGTAACTCTTGTGTGAGAACCTCCCATGACCAGGGATTTCTTGCCTTGACCTGCTCCGAATGAAGCTCCCCTGGGAAATGTCAGTTTAATAGCAGCAATACTCTCGGGATAAGGAAAGAGGGTACCGAGTGCGGAAAAAAGGTTACTTAAAATAATCTTAACAGTTTAAAAAAAAAAGCAGCAATACCTCAAGTTCCTAGAGGTTCTCTTTTAAAGAGTTATTTTATTTTGTATATTCTGCAACTAGCTTAAAATTACTTTTAAAAACTTAGGCAGTGAAAAATTACTCAAGGTGCGTACCTTTAAAAATTAAAATAAGTGTTAAAATTTGGCCATTTGGAATAATTGCTTTTTGAATGTAAGATATCTCCTTAGCTGGTTTTACAACGAATTATATTTTTAAAAAAGCAGAGATAAACCACTGGAGATTTTTTATCATTTCTACATGACATAGATAATTTAGGGGGTCTATTAAGCAGATTTCACAATGAATTAAATTTTAAAAAGGCACAGTGATAAAGGACTAAAGATTTTTATCTCATCTATATTATGAAAATATTAGTCTCCTTACTTGGCTTTAGCAAAGTGTTTTTACCTGAGTAAATAAGGATATTGATCTCCTTTAATAAAAATTGCTTCTAGACATCTTCTAATTTGTCTACATCACAAAAACTGGGAATCTAAATAATGGGCCTTTGAAGGCTTCAGGGAGGGTAAAATGAGGATAACAGACCCCATGGCAGCCTAGAGATAAGTAAGATGGCATTGCTAGGCTAACACCTAACCTCTCTGGTAGAAAAGCCAGAGGTCAGGGTGGGCCCAAAGGTGCCCTAAGAGGCATCTAAATAGATCATTTTAGGATGGTAGCAATCCTTGTCTTTCTTACAGAAACACATAAATAGACATTGAGAGCTAGACAGTACTTCACCAATATTTTAGGGGTGAAGAAACATAGTATACTTTCAATTTCCCTAACCTAGAAAGTCCTCCATTGCACTGTGTCATTTGGCCTGAGGCCCATAAGCCTGCTGGGCCCACCCATTTCTTTACCTCTCACTCCTCAAACATGATTATGGGTGGACAGAACACATGCCAACAGGGGACAACAGGAAGAGGGGTAGTGCTGGCATAACATGAGCTTCCTCCTAGCACCTGGCTGAGTATTTCATTAAAGAATTAAACAGATTACACAAGTACCAACTTAAAATCTTTAAATACAACCTTGCTATTTTTTGTCAAGAAGGTATTATATAGGTACACTAAGGCACTGAAAAGCGTTACAGTTATCTTAAATATACAGGTATCTTAAAATCACAGGCACAAGTCAGGAAACAGTGCTTTCAATAAAAACGTGGAGAGTTTCACGCCACACAGTCAAGAGAATGAATGAACTCCTGCAATCTGCAACCACGTGGATGAACCTCACAATGTTAAAAGAAGCCAAAGAGCATACTCTATATATAGATTACACTTTTATAAAGTTCAAAGGCAAAGCTAATATATAGTTTAAAAGTCAGGTGTTGGTGTTTCTGGGAGAAGGCAGCCACCAGGAGGGGAGCTTCTAGCATGCTAGTAAAATTCAATGTCTTGATATGAATGTTAGCACTCAATATGTGTACTTTTCTGAGAATATGTTATACTCTAACAAAGGTAAAAAAAAATGTGTGTGCATGTATGGGATTGTTATAGGGATGGCAGAAGACTTTTTTTTTTTTTTTGTGAGGAAGATCGGCCCTGAGCTAACATCCATGCTAATCCTCCTCTTTTTGCTGAATAAGACTGGCTCTGAGCTAACATCTATTGCCAATACTCCTCCTTTTTCTCCCCAAAGCCCCAGTAGATAGCTGTATGTCATAGTTTCACATCCTTCTAGTTGCTGTATGTGGGACGTGGCCTCAGCATGGCCGGAGAAGTGGTGCGTCGGTGCGCGCCTGGGATCCGAACCCAGGCCACCAGTAGTGGAGCGCGCGCGCTTAACCGCTAAGCCACAGGGCCAGCCTGGCAGAACACTTTTTAAAAATTTGGCTTAGCCTAAGTTTAGGGCATGGAATAAGTGAATTTTAATAGTATTTACTTCTATATAGTATGTACCGAGACAAGATTTGGCCAGTGTGGTAAAAAGAAAATTTCAAGTAGGTCTGCAACACTCAGATGCAATGAAATCCCAGACTACCAAAAAGATCAATGAGCTATAGCAGCTATATACTGTGGTCTTTATTAAGAAAAGATTAGGACTGTTGATTCATTTCCAAGTTTTTAATGTAATAAGAACTTTCCTTTTCTTGTCCAGGATCAATAGCAATTTATAACAAAATCTATCTACTCATGGGAATAGTTACACAAAGCGCTACACATAAATGTAAATAATTACCACCATTATTATGCTTAGAGCTAATGGACAGACTGGTTTGCTTCTAGTTTGCCTTTCAATTATTGTTTCCGAGTTTTAATCTAAGAAATGTTAATTTACTATTCTGCTCTTCTATTTAAAAAATGAAGCATAAAGCTTTGGTGAAGAATTGACAGTAGATTTTCAGTTTCAAAATGGAGAGGGGGCAATAATATAGATGAAGTACGATTATTTATTAGCTTCTTAAGTTAAGCTTCAAACAACTCTTTTCAATTTTAAATATTACTGATCAATGTCCACTCCTAAATCTTGGAAAATTAAAGCACTGCAATATTTAAACTTACCGTTATGTTTTGAGTATTAGGCACAAAAATATCTTAATTTTTTGGTCACTACCACCCAACCATGACAATTCTG